GACAGTGGTACCACTATACACTGGTACATTGGTCTCTTTGCCTCCACAGGGAAAGTTCTTTGTCTCCACAGATGCCTTCACACACCACCTCATCTCATCTCTCACACTGACAAGTCCACTTCCAAATACGTATAGGAACACATCTACTTCCTCCATACTCCCTTTAATCTGATATGCAATTTTTTGGTGCCAGAATTTACTGTATCACTTATAAATATCAAGACAACATTCTAAATTTAAAATAATTATTATATTTCCAGAATCTATTAAGCCTCTGTTAGTCACTTAATAATGTAAGGCAAATGAATACCAATGTTAGAGAAGAGAAACATGTTGGATGAGCATTAAGGTAAAAGGAGAGTAGTGGTTGGTGTAATGAATTGGTTTCAGCTAAGAAATCAAAGAAGGAACCTATATTAATATTTTGTGTCAGAGAGGAAAACAGTTGCCAGTCTTGTATATATTTCAATAACAAAGGCATAAGCAATGTAAAGATTGCAATATCTAGGCACCTGCTTCATTCACAATTCTTTATTAGGGAAGTCAGCCGCTGTTGGTCAAGTTCTTCAATTCATCTTGACAATTTTCAATAACATTTTTAACAGTTACTGAAAATGGAGTTGACATCCTCATGGCTATCACCAGTGACTCAAAAAAAAGATATACATATGGTATACATGATGCACAGTGTTGGCAGCTATGGTGGTTATGGTGATGTTATTGAATAGCATACAACCGAACATTTGAATGAGCTTTTTCATCTCCAGCAAATTTTTTTTAGATTTTGTAACCCCCCCTCCCCAAAAAAAAAAAAAAAAATTAACAACTTCAACTGGGAGTCACAATTCTGGGGATGAGAAGCCATTCTACATAAGTGAAGAATCATAAGAGTAAATCAGCAAGCTGTAACTTTTGACCCCAATACTATGTTAAATGTTCTTTGCTGTTACAGTGGAAACTCAGTTTTCGTATGCCCCAATTTTCCTAGGATTTGTTTTCTACGACTTTTTTCGTCAAAATTTTGTCCCAGTTTTTGTACATCTGCTCAGCTTTCATAGAGTTGAAAATGGTCCGTACCAAATGCATCCACGTGACTAGGCCACTCAAGCGCCCACACAAAGCATCCCATGAGTTTGTGACTCAGTCTGCCTTTGTTTCTCATTGAGTGAGCATCACCCTGTGTGTTCATCTGAAACATTTTGTAATAATCCATTGTTTTTTGTACTTGTTTATTGAGTGTGACTGCTAAATAAACCACCATGGAGCCAAAGAAAGTTCTGAGTGCCAGCCCTTTGATAAAGGAAAGAAACAAGATAGAATTCAAGAAAAAACTCACAGCAAAGTACGAAAGTGGCATACACGTGGCTAATCTCTCCAGGATGTATGGGAAGTCCACATCAACGATCAGTTCCATCCTGGCGAAGAAAAAAGAAATCAAGGAAGCTGATGTTGTGAAAGGGGTAAATGTGCTAATGAAACAGAGATCGCAAACAATCGAAGACGCTGATAAGTAGTTGCTGCTGTGGATCAACGAAAAACAGTTAGTGGGAGATAGTGTCTTGAAGATGATAATTTGAGAAAAGGCAAGGCAGTTGCATGTGGATCTCACAAAGAAAATACTTGGAATGAGTGCTGCTGTTAGTGAATTTAAGGCCAGCAGAGGCTGGTTCGACAAATTCAAGAAGTGAACTGGCATACACAGTGTGGTAAGGCATGGTGAGGCTGCAAGTTCAGACAAACATGGAGCCGAAGAATTTGTTGATGAGTTCAAGGAGTACATAGAGGGTGAAGGATTTCTCTCCCAACAAGTCTTCAATTGTGACAAAACAGGCCTCTTTTGGAAGAAAATGCCAAAGAGGGCCTACATCATGGAGGAAGAAAAGGCACTGCCAGGGCACAAGCCTATGAATTATTATTATTATTATAATCAAAAAGAAGCACTAAGCCACAAGGGCTATACAGCTCAAGCCTATGAAGGATAGGCTAACTCTTTTGTTCTGTGGTAATGCTAGTGGGGATTTCAAAGTGAAACTTTTACTGGTTATCACTCTGAAAATCCCTGAATGTTCAAGAAAAACAATGTCATCAAGAGTAAATTGTGTGTGACGTGGAAGGCTAACAATAAGGCATGGGTCATGAGGCAAATTTTCATTGAGTGGGTCAATGAAGTGTTTGGCCTGAGTGTAAAGAAATACCTCCTGGAAAATCAATTGCCACTCAAGTGCCTCCTGGTAATGGACATTGCACCTGCTCATCCTCCAGACTTGGAAGACCAATTGTTGGAAGAGTTTAGTTTCATCACAGTGAAGTTCTTGGCCCCTAATACCACTCCTCTCATCTAGCCCATGAACCAGCAGGTCATTTCAAACTTCAAAAGACTCTACACCAAAGTACTGTTTCAAAGGTGCTTTGAAGTGACATCGGACACTAGGGTAGGGGGTAATCCTAAGAAAGGATGGAGGGAGGAGGTAAAGGAGGTTTTGTGTGCAAGGGGCTTGGACATACAGCAGCCATGTGTATGTTAGATCGGATTGAGTAGAGTCAAATGTTTTTTGGGACTTGACGAGCTGTTGGAGTGTAGCAGGGTAATATTTTGTGAAGGAATTCAGGGAAACTGGTTAGCCAGACTCAAGTCCTGGAGGTGGGAAGTACAATGCCTGCACTTTAAAGGAGGGGTTTGGGGTATTTGCTGTTTAGAGTGACATCTAAACTATTGTATTTGGATGCCTCTGCAAAGACAGTGATTATGTGTGAATGATGGTGACAGTGTTTCTATTTTGGACCACTCTGCCTTGGTGGGAATAACCAGTGTGTCAAAAAAAATGTAAATTATTCCACAAATGTAAATTGTTCAATCAGAAGCATAATAATAAATTTAGTGATTAGCTCAACATACTTTATCTTAGGGTTTCATTTAGGAATAAACAAGGAGAAAACAAGGCATGGTGTAGTGAGACATCACTGGTGACGAAAAACTTTATCCAAGGAGACAAAACTACAACTCTTATACTATTTAAAAATTACTGCATATAAAGAACAAACAATAATCTCAAAGCCCACAGTATTCACAGCTTTCAAGCAAAACTTATACTAGTCTTAAGATCTAGTACACAGTTTTATGTTTTATTTTTAAGGGTCTAATACATGGTACAGTGGAACCTCGAAAATCGAACGTACCAAATATCGAACATTTCGATTATAAGACCATTTTTTCGGACAAACTGTGTACCAAAATTCGAACGCGTTTCAAATTTTGGACCGCGTCCCCGCGCAGGCGCCGTGAGCAGTCTAGCTTTGTTTATGCTTGAGTGAACACTAACCTGCGCTCTTATTCACACATTTTACGATTATTTTGTTGTGTTTAGTACAGTGGACCCCCGCATAACGATCACCTCCGAATGCGACCAATTATGTAAGTGTATTTATGTAAGTGCGTTTGCACGTGTATGTTTGGGGGTCTGAAATGGACTAATCTACTTCACAATATTCCTTATGGGAACAAATTCGGTAAGTACTGGCACCTGAACATACTTCTGGAGTGAAAAAATATCGTTAACCGGGGGTCCACTGTACTTGTGGGACTGTGAAATAAGCTGCCATGGGCCCAAAGAAACTTGCTAGTGGTACCCCTGTGGTAAAGAAAGTGAGAAACACTATAGATGTGAAGAAGGAAATAATACAGAAGTATGAGAGTGGTGTGAGACTTGTTGAGCTTGCCAGGATGTATGGGAAAAACAAGTCGACCATCGGTTCTATCCTGGCAAAGAAAGAACAAATCAAGGAAGCTGATGTTGCGAAAGGTGTTAATATGCTAACCAAAAAAAGACCACAAATACTTGAAGAGGTTGAGAAGTTGTTGCTGGTGTGGATCAAGGATAGAGAGATTGCAGGTGATAGTGTTTCAGAGACGATTATTTGTGAAAAGGCAAGGAAGTTGCATGCCGATCTTGTACAGAAAACTCCTGGAACCAGTGCTGATAGTGAATTTAAGGCCAGCTGAGGCTGGTTTGAGAGACTTAAGAAGTGTAGTGGCATACACAATATTGTAAGGCATGGTGAGGCAGCCAGTTCAGACAAATGGGCAGCTGAGAAGTTTGTACAGGAGTTTAAGGGGTACACAGACAGTGAAGAATTGAAACCTGAACAAGTGTTTAATTGTGACGAAACAGGCCTGTTTTGGAAGAAAATGCCAAAAAGGACCTTCATCACACAGGAAGAAAAGGCACTGCCAAGACACAAGCCTATGAAAGACAGGCTTACTCTTTTGTTCTATGCAAATGCTAGTGGTGATTTTAAAGTGAAGCCTTTACTTGTGTAACATTCAGAAAATCCCAGTGTGTTTAAGAAAAACAATGTCTTTAAGAACAAGTTATGTGTCTTGTGGAAAGCTAATCATAAGGCATGGGTCACAAGAGAAATTTTCAAAGAGTGGGTCAGTGAAGTGTTTGGCCCCAGTGTGAAAAAATACTTCCAGGAAAAGAAATTGCCACTCAAGTGCCTCCTGTTAATGGACAATGTATGTATTATTTTATATGTATGTATTATTTTATATGTATGTTATTTTATATGTATGTAAAACTGGAATTAATCTCTATAAAATGTATATTTTGTGTGAATATTTTTGGGTTTCTGGAACGGATTAATTGTATTTCCATTATTTCTTATGGGAAATATTGATTCGAATTTCAGACTTTTTGAAATTAGAACTAGCTCCTGGAACGGATTAAGTTCGATTTTTGAGGTTCCACTGTATTAATTTGAACTTGAAGTACAGTGCCTGCACTCTGCAGAAGAGTTGGGAAAATCACAGTTTGGAGGGTCCTTTGACAAGACAGCTATTGAATGAATGATGGCGAATGCATATCCTTTAAATGAGATGACCCTACCTCGATGGGAAACAGTTGATGTGTCAAAAAAAATCATTTTGGATAAGGATGTCCACAGTAATGTCACAAGTTTTGAGTAACACTGAGGATCTAATATCACATATTTCTTTCCAGGGGTTCTGTCTGGGATGAGACGTTCCAGAACTACCCCTCACCAGGCTTCAGCATTTGTTTCTAAAGCAGCACTTGACTTTAGGCCTGGAGCTAGAGATACACCTCAAACATTTGAAACCCAGTTTGTCTATGAAGGAAGATGTAACCATGGAAGCATGGAGGAGCTTTCCAGCCAAGCTCTAGCACAAAGTGAATTACAGTCAATCAGAAAATCAAGTTCTCATAGCGTGTGCCTAGAAAAAGGGGTAGATCGTACTCTAGTCGGAAGTGGTATGTCTCGACAAGAGATGCTTTCTGATAGCAATGGACATATTCGAGATGCTCTGTCTACATCGAACTCTCGTAGAGTGGAGATTCCTAGGGTGGAGCCTAGGATGATTCACACACCACGTCTTAGCCTGCAGTGCAGGACTGAAAGTGGTATAGATGCCCATGAAGTGGAGACATTACACCTAGATAACAAGTGATACTCGACACTTGGTGTTGAACTCCTTTGATAAATGGCTCCTTTTAGCAGGAAGCATCTATGATATTTAATACTCTGCTCTTTTCTTATTGAAAGCAATGTGCTTAGCATTTTCCCATATTCATAAATAGTGAAGTAAAGTGGATGTAATGACTACTTGTGAAGTTCACATATAATGAACATATGCCATGTAACAGATCCTATAAAAAAAATTTGGATAATTTTTCCACTCATTTAATCAACTTATTCATAATTATAAACCATCATCAAAACTTTCAGGGTAAACAACTGCTTATTGTAGCAAAATTATATCATTCATAAATTTATAAAATGCAAGTAATTTTGTACTACATATTTGTATATTTCATTTAACCCATGTCTTTTATCTTTTTTCTATCCAGTCTTCAAAATGTCTCCCCACTTCTATTATTAAATAAAACTATGAAAAAGTGTTGTGATGCTGCATAATGACAGCAAAAAACTTGGTATAACAATGTAAAATTATTTACCAGATTTTTACCAGTGTAGAAAACCAACTACACAAAAAATGAGAAGAATCTGGCAAACAAAGCAGACAATTTAAAATACAGTGTGGCTTCAATGAGGCAGTGTAATATCGTTGCTTTGTCACAAAAGTAACTCTAAAACAGCTCATGTACAATCCACTACTGATTGATGAAGTTTGTGATATCAGTTCTTGAGAAATCATGATTCTACATAGAATAAAAGTCACAATACCGTGGCTGGAACAATTCACAAATGACCCGCAATTAGATGACCTGTCAGTCCATCCTGGATCATTATAAAGATGCTTCATTCCATCCTGGACCATTATAAAGAATTTATGATCCATCTTTTAAGATGTTTCAGTCCATCCTGGACAAATGACAAGATGTTTCAGTCCATCCTGGACAAGTGGCAAGATGTTTTGGTTCATCCTGGACAATTATCAAGTTACAACTTCCATAAGTGTCCTCTAAGTGCAGGTTATTTGTAAATCGTTCTCTTCGTCATCTTTTCTGATGTCGTCTGTTCTTACCACTGTCTTGATATGATTCCTCAGTGTGTATCTTCTTTCAGCTCTAATGACTTCATGGAGCTAAGATAATGTGTATTCCAAAAAACAGGGTTTAATTATCCTATCTTTCTCATATACACAAATTATTAATTAAATAATCAGTACAACAGAGATACTTTTGAGGTCATAAACTCTTGGCTTTACTAATGGACCATAATTAAAAAAAATACTGTATGTACATACATTTATCCTGATAAGCTTTTACATTAATTTAGCAAGCAGACACCTTTTTCATAGTATAACAGAGTACAGAAAATTCTTGCCATTTGACAGCAAAGATTATAAAGAGAGTTCGAGAGGCTATCAAATGCAAATACAAATTTTTATTTACAAAAGATGTATTTCAAGAGAAATAATTGCTTTAAAAACTATACTGTTATGGCTTTTGGAAAGTCCATATTTTTTTATTATGTTTTGATTAAGTGTGGCTCACCGTATCTGGTGAGAATGCACACCTAATTTTCATTCATATCCAGGATGTCTACGGAGAGAGAGAAATGGTGCAATGTTGACTAGTTGTGAAAAACATAGTTACACAAGAGAACTCCATCCGTCACCCCTGTCTATCAAATTTACCTTTATGTAAAGTAAAAGGACACAAGTGCAACTAATGTGACATTTTATTGTGGCAACGTTTCGCTCTCCAGGAGCTTTGTCAAGCCGATACAAGCAGTATATGGACACAGAGGGTATATAAATGGTAGTAGTAGTAGTAGTAGTAGTAGTGACAATATGATAGAGCAATTAATTCGTACAGGAGTAAAAGGATATAGAAGCTATTACTTGGTAACATAAAAATAGGTTGAACAAATATAGACTGGATAGAGAAGCCTGTTTCAGTGTTCACTCTCTGTAATGTGCTTTGTGTAGTATAACAGGAGAGACTATGTGATGGCAGGGTTTACTGTTTTCAGGAGGATTCTCGCTAAGACTTCAGAGATGGTGAAGCTGCCGTTGTTTTGTTTAATTGTATTCGAAACAGTGATCAGTGCTGATTCGAGGCACTTGCGTCTGCGGAAATTAGTTTCTTTGATCACTAATTGGGCGTCTCTGAATTTCATGAGATGATTGGTGGAATTTCGGTGCTGTACACAGGCGTTGTTCAAGTTATCGTTCCTACATGCAGCTTCACCATCTCTGAAGTCTTAGCGAGAATCCTCCTGAAAACAGTAAACCCTGCCATCACATAGTCTCTCCTGTTATACTACACAAAGCACATTACAGAGAATGAACACTGAAACAGGCTGCCTCTATCCAGTCTATATTTGTCCAACCTATTTTTATGTTACCCAAGTAATATATCCTTTTACTCATGTACGAATTAATTGCTCTACCATATTGTATAGCTACTACTACTACTACTACAACTTTTGTCACTACTACTACTACTACCACCACTAGTGAACATTGAAATGGTACCTCACTAGTATTGCACCTCACTATGAGCCTTTATATACCCTCTGTGTCCATTTACAGTTTGTATCGGCTTGATAAAGCTCCTGGAGAGCGAAACGTTGCCACAATAAATTGTCACATTAGTTGCACTTGTGTCTTTTTACTTTACATATTGTCGGTAATTCTACCAACATTATTACAAATTTACCTTTAAAATTAAAATGTGAAGTTGTTGTTCTTTCTTTCAACAAACTGGCCATATCCCACCAAGGCAGGATGGCCCAAAAAGAAAAACAAAAGTTTCTCTTTTAACTTTAGTAATGTACACAGAAGGGGTTACTAGCCCTTTGCTCCCTAAAATGTAAAGTATATAACCTAAAACACACTACATTAGGAAGAACTGCCAACAATTCTCAGCCAGGAAGTTCAAGGGCCTGCATCACAAACAGTAAAATGGGTCACAAAAATTTAAATGCAATTCTTTATAACCAGAAACAGGAAATAAATGCAAATGGCAAGAGTTTACTGTATCTCTTTATCTTGAAAATAATGTAAAACTTTCACAAATGTAGCTACAGTATACATGTATACAGTTGAAGACACGGACATTACTACAAATATTACTGTACCTGCAAAGGAGCTAAACCCTGTTTTTGGATGTTCTCAAAAAGACACTTCCTAAGCATGGTGGATTATATACGAAGGTCTCCGCTTATATGCTGTCATTATAACAAAACTACAAAAAAATCTCATTATATTTTAATTCGTAGAATAGTATTATATAAGAATAACCTACACTTGACAGTATGAAAACAAAGCACGTATTTTCGGTCTAACTCAAGACCCTCTTCAGCCATTGAGGAGAGTCTCTAGTCAGACCAAAAATATTCGAGTTAGGTAAGCTATCTTATAAAACTATTGTAGAGAGTTCAGTTTTTTGCAAGTGTATTTGAAGTGGATTCAAAATTCAATTTTGGATGCACTTTTTAACTTCCTTCTTTCTTTTTTCAACAAACCGGCCGTATCCCACCGAGGCAGGGTGGCCCAAAAAGAAAAACAAAAATTTCTCTTTTTAAATTCAGTAATTTATACAGGAGAAGGGGTTACAAGCCCCTTGCTCCCGGCATTTTAGTCGCCTACTTTTTAACTGCATCTATACAAGAAAAAAAAATACATAGAGGTGGTTTATAAGAAAGTATGTGCTAACCAATGAATGTGGGTTATTCTTATAGATTAACTATACAGTCAGTGTACGGCTCACTCGGTAGTATTGCATCTGTATATTTATACTAATACATACTTTGACTGACGTTAGATATTGCAAAATAACAATACAGTAATGTAATTTTGGCTCCAATTATGCTTACCACTTATGTCAGCAAATAAGTATTATTTGACCTTCTAAAGTTCTTCGGACTTGCCTCCCATGTGCTTAACTAGTTGTGATATTCCCACTACAGTGTACTGTATATACTTCGTCACAAGGGAACTGCAATTTTTGTACTTTGAAAGTAGAGAGATATATTTATTGTTTCTACAAATAATGTATCCGCCCAAGCAGTGTGTGTTCTCTCCTGTATTCGTGTTTTTTCACTGTGTTTGGCGAACACTGGAATTATGTTATGAAAGGCAGGAGAAAGTTTCTGCATGGGAATGAGAGACTTTGTGGCATAAACCTCATTTCATATCACGTAATAGCACTTGACTAATGGGAAAGAATTTGTGGACAGATAAGTATATAGTCATGCAATGACTGGAAAAAGCTCTTAGAGCAAGGGTTCTTAACTTGGGGTATCCATGCCACTTGGGGGTATGGCAACCTTGGAGGTATGGCAACCTTGGAGGTATGGCAGCAACCTTGGGGGTATGGCAACCTTCGAGATATGGCAACCTTGGGGAGTATGACAACCTTGAGAGTATGGAAACCAAATAATGGGGGTGTGGGACTCAATCTTTGAACACTTTAAAAAAAATTGTTTTTAGAATAAACTATCAGCTGTCCTGTTGCTAGTTATCCATATGTAAAGTAAAAACCAAGCTACTGACATCCTTCAAAGTTATATTGGTACCTAATAGGACTAATGACAATGTGATGATTTCCACAGTCTGGCAAGGGGGGCTATGGGGACATACTGGGCAATCAATTGGGGGTCTATAATTGTAAAAAGGTTAAGTACCCTTTGCAATGACAAGTTCATTTTAGCAATACAGTGGTACCCTGAGTTTCATACAGCTCCCAACTTGAACAATTGTGTAAGTGTATTATTGTAAGCGTTTTTGTAAGTGTATTTTTGGGGATCTGAAACAGACTAATCTAATTTACATTATTCCTTATAGGAACAAATTCATTCGGCAACGGCACTCAAACACCCTTCTTGAACGAATTATGGCTGAAACTCGGGGTACCACTGTACTCTAACCCAAGTAAACTTTGCTCTGCATGCTCACTCACTCTCATTCTCACTCCCTCTCTCTTCTTAGTTCATATACCCATCAGTGTTTCACCCTCCAGCTGGGAAACAAATTTTGTTTAAAACCTTTAATATAACAGACTTCTGAAATAACAGACATAATTCACTGGATAAATTTTACATTTAACTCCTTTACTTTCCATGCAATATCACTATAAATTGTGTGTACACGACTGTATTAGATGTACAGAAGAGTACTTTAGTGCTTTTTCTGCTATTTTTTAACATTATTCTGATTTAATGGACATTGGGACAATCCCCCCCATCAGTACATTACAGTGGTACCTCAGGATACGAACACCTCAAAACTTGAACTATTATGTAAGTGAATTTATGTAAATGCTGTTGTAAGTGTATTTTTGGGGGTCTGAAACGGATTAATCTAATTTATATTATTCCTTATGGAACAAAATACTTTCATTCGCATCGAACATCATTCTGATAAGAATTAAAGTTCGTATCCCGATGGTACCTAGATAGCTACTAGGTTGAACAATATAGTTATGTTAGTAATGTTAGGGCTGTCTGAACTCAATTAATTACGATTCTTTGCATCACAAATTCATACTGATGACTAACATTTATATTATCTGAATCAACCTTTTGTATTAAGGTAATTTATTATGTAATTTGTAATATAAATGTAATAAGAGTTAAATAAATTTATTATTATTTATTTACGAAAACGTTTTATTCATTTAAAATCTACTATTTATGTGTTATAGATTTAAGTATTTAATGAGATTACATGAAACTTACTAATAATCACTTTCATTTGTAGTGTCAAGATGTAATTACTTTTTTTACATATTTTCAAATATAAAAAAAATGTAGATAAAAGTTTTTTACACGTTTTCAAATGTAAAACAAAAAAAGAAGATATTAATTTTTTTACATACTTTCAGATGTTGAAAAAACGTATACAGTGGACCCCCGGTTAACGATATTTTTTTACTCCAGAAGTATGTTCAGGTGCCAGTACTGACCGAATTTGTTCCTATAAGAAATATTATGAAGTAGATTAGTCCATTTCAGACCCCCAAACATACACGTACAAACGCACTTACATAAATACACTTACATAATTGGTCGCATTCGGAGGTAATCGTTATGCGGGGGTCTACTGTATATATGTTTGGACCATTTAAGGGTTAATAAATCAGGCATCTCCCACCAATGCAGGGCGACCCGAAAAAGAAGAGACAAACATTTTTCTATAAGATTATTATAACTATTGTATTCATGTAAGTTAAATTTGTTAGGTTCATTTAGTGCTGCATGGCAGGGGGAAGAGAGAGAGATGGCAAACAAGGAGAGAGAATCATGGTAAGAAAATCAGCAGAGGAGGGAAGGTATAGTTAGAGTAGATGAAGCAAGTAAGTGTCAATTAAGAAATCAGAAGTGAACCCTTTATTTAACAGACTAATAAGGGGGATAGGGTGTCTGTTAAAGTCAAATTGCAATAATATTTTTCCATGATCGTAACTGTAACAGAGAATTCGGTATTTAACAGACTTAATCTGTTAAATCTGGAGATAAATTTATCCAGAAGACCAAAATAACAGACAATTCTGGATTTAATGTACTGTACTCTGTCCATTGGTTCTGAATGTTGTCTGGCCACAGATTTTGTCTGCTAAATCCAAAATCCTTTAAATCTGGTGTGTTAAATAGAGGCTTTGTTGTACTGAGTCTAAATTTAAGGTGGGCCCATCGGAGAGGAGAACAGAGAGGAGAACGGGGAGGGTAAACACGTCCAAAAAATTGAAGTAGGCATCTGAGATGAAGTTAATATGCTCTCTGCTGACTGAGATAATCAATCAAGAGATACTGAACTATTAGAATAAGCTCAGAATCCCCACAAAGTGGCACTG